CTGAACTTGGCAGGAGTGCAAGGAGGAGCATGGTGAATGAGGAATTCGAAGGTTGAGCATCACCGAGCATGGCCGACTCTTCCATTGAACCGCGATCGTGGGCAATGGAGCGACATACCTGTGGTGAGTGACATTATCGCTGTTCTATTGCCTGAGCATATATGTATATATTGTTTCAAGCTTTACTTCATACCAGATCTCTTCGTATTCCTGTATCGATCTCTTGCTAGATCCCTTCCTATTTTTGTCCAAAATTACTTCTTTCACCTCATTCCACTCGTTGCTTCCCGATCGGTATTAGCTGGCTTCAACGTAATTTACTTGCTAGAATTTCTTTGACGCGTATACACAACCTCTTTCCAGTCTCACCAATATATATATCATCATCACAGCGCTGGTACATTGTCTCTCGCCGTGCGCAGCCTCCAGCCTCCGTTCGTACAGACAAAAGACGCAATTGTCCGTGATGCTCGCATCGTTTTGAGGTTTCTGCGTTTTAGGTAATGTTTCTGATGTTTGTTTGGTATGTTAATACGATGACATCATGAGCCAATACCGCTTCTCATTCTGCAGCACAAGAGCTGTTATTTCCTATCATGGACGCTAGTTTGAAAATCTTTATATTATTACAATTTGTCTGATTACTCATTTTTGAGACTTGATCCAACTTCATGGCGTCAGCTGGTAGTTCACCCGGCTCTTCTCGTCCCCCACGTCATCTGGCCAAACTCCACTGGTTGTCCTGTACGGCTGCAAACAACTGCACATTGAAGGCTCAATTCACGATAACGATGGTTGCTTAGATTTCCCCCGCATTTGAAAGATTGCACGTTGAACATTTTCAGTATGGGGATTTCAACGTCTCGTGAGGGTGTGATGCCGTAACCCCATAATACCCCACCAACCTACCCCCCGTGGGCTTAAAACGGGGTACCTTTCTGTTGCGTCGTATACGTGACGGGTGTGTGGAGGCGCTTGAGTGTGTGTTCAGGTTACTGTGTAACACATTCACGGGACGACCAGGCCTGTTCTGTACATTTTGGAGATTAAATAAAGACTCCAAAACCGTCTTGTTCGACATACACACCCAAAAGTGGCCGTGTTATGACGGTCTGGTTAACACTGTTCCATCCACATTGAAACTTTACGAAGCCGACGAATAGTACGCTCATGTGGGAGACATCTAGAAGATTACAGACAAAATCTCGTACAACCTCCTATTTCGCCACCTTTTAAAGCCTTGTATTTTTTGAAATCAGCTGTTTTCGCCGCTTTTTTCACCATTTTCGCACTATACTGCATCATAAATTCCACTATTTTTCTTTAGCTGAATATCTCAGAATATCGTAAGCTGTGCCCTTAAGGTGTACAGAGCCTGCGTCAAATTGAATGGTCTCAAAGCTCGTCTTTCGGTGCCACTTTACACTGTACGCCCCATTTGTAATTCTTATCTGCATATCTTTATGAGGGAATGAGTCTTTGAGTGGAACTTGCTTGTGCTTATCGGAACTCGTGGAATACGGTCTTTTTCTGTAGGAAATGTCGTATAACTCGTCCATTTCGAACTGCGATCAGGTAATTACGGAGCGGTCATCGATGTACCGGCTGTGGCAGGTAGCCAGTGCCGGTGCAAGTCAGGGAAGCCCTTAATTCTGGGAAATGAGTTCTGTTTGCTCTGAAATCGCCACTTTGATACTCAGACATTCCTTTGGCGTCATAATTTGACCAAAAAGCTAGGAGCCCTTAATCCCAACTTCACAGTAGCACGATGATTTTCTATATATTCTTCAACCCCACCCCCACCCCTTTTTCTTGAGTCCTTTCACTGGCTAATAATGCTGTCTTCAAAGAACTGTCTGGATCAATCCTATTCCAACTCCTAAGGACTACCCTAAAACTTTCACCGATCGTGCGGCACCTAACTTTAGGCGTTTTAATCCTGTGAGTTGCTGTGGCCGTCCTTATTTCTGAATATCGACCATGTTATTAGGGTTTAATAATACTGGAAGCCAGTTTGACTTCTGGTACGACATGTTTTCATGTTTTTCACTATCATTAGACAGACACTATGCGCTCTGGCCTCATCTTCGGCCGCTGATCATCCTCCTCGTCCTCGTCGCCGTTGTCATTGTTATGACTATTTTTCCTCCATTCTCTCATTCAGCACTGCTACACCGCTAGGCTTTCAATAGAATATCGGAAAGACAGCAACAGATATAAGCTATGTTCTTTCCAGTGTTGGTTCCTCCTCCGCTTCCTCTGCTTGGACTCGAACGAGGTTGATAAAAGTTCTTTAATCGGGCTTACGTTTCGGCGTGGATCGCCTTCTTCAGAGCAACCTGCTTCGGTCTTTCCAGGCTCTGAAGAAGGGCATCCACGCCGAAACGTTAGCCGGAATAAAGAATTTTTATCAACCCCATTCGAGTTCAAGCAGAGGAAACCGACGTTTGCACTATGCCGAGTTTAGAGATAGCCCTACATGGCGGTTCTATCCAATGTTTCTGTCCTCCCCTCTCACGAACGGGGCCAACTAAACTAAACACTTTCCTCTTCTATGTGTGTGTGTGTGTGTGTGAAGGTCGCTGAGAGACGTCTTGCCGCCAGCTCCGTTGATATAGTGCCAAGTGAGGCCGCATTCCCACGCTCAGGTGCCTCTATAAATTCCCAATGTCGGCCCTCTCAACGACGTATATCTCAGGACCGGCAGTTGAACCTGATTTATGATTATCGTTGAATTACTTCTCCTCCACACGATGCTTCACATTTCTTTTTCAGAGCTACGTATATGTTGGCCTTCTAGAATGTTACGCCTTTAATTTTCGATTCAATATTTTACTAATTTATCGTTCCCCATCGTCAAGACGTAGGGATCATTTTGAGAATTTCGCATTCTGATCGAGAAGATTTGAGTTTTGCCCAGGAAGGAAATCTTTTTTGGACGGTGATCCTGTTGCGGAACCCTTTGTCAGAATCCAAAGGAAGCTTCATTGACCAATTGTTCGGAGGCAATGAGCTGGCAACTGAGCCACGCCATCATTCCTTAGAGGAAGGAGTGGGGGAGGGAAGGGAGGGGAAGTGACTGAAAAATTTGTTTGACTAGGGAAAAAGATGGTAGCTTAGGTCAGGACCTAAATTGATCCCAACAGCAAGATGAACATTCTAGGATCGTTTATGAACCCTTTCAGTTGAACTCCACAACCAATTTCATGCTTTTTCACGACTGGCTTTCCAAAACCAAGTGAAGAACAAACGAATAGCTCCACTCAAAACCCGTGTTGAGGTTTTTTTACATAGAAAATCCTCTAAAAAAGCTGCAATGGAAAAGAGCTGGGAACCACCATGCGATGGTGCCAACACAATGTAGGGCAGGCACAAAGGGGAACGTTCGTTTCGTTTTTGTCTTTGCTGGGGGGTTTTTACGGAATCCCGGCATGTTATGCAGAATTGTTACAGCAAGGAATGTTCAAGTAGTGCTTGAGAATGGTAACAAGAAATAGCGGCTGGGGAAATTTGGGAGAATGAAAAAGGGCAACGACCCTGAGTGATGATCTCCTGGGGTATCAAGGAAGATTATTCCTTGACAATGAATCGACACACACAATTCAAAACTGGTTTATTGACAAAATCTGTTGCGAGAGAAAGCGGACGGAGCTGTGGGGTGGTGTCAAACCGATCATGACAACATATCACTTATTTATCGGTGTTTTTCTTTTGAACATTACCTTTCTCGTATCATTTTTATTGCCTAGTGGTGATTTTCTCTGATCATGCTGACCCCCCATGAATAGGAACGTTGCTGCAAAAACAAGTCGGAGAGGTGGAGTCTCGTTTGGAAACTCCTCATCAGGCCCTTACGCATTTGGGCGCCTTCTCACTCTGTACCAATTTATGATAACAATTTCCATGTGGGATTGGCTTCTCTTCATTTTTCTAGATCTTACAGGCTTATAAGATGTTTCGGAAATAAAGTGGTAGCTTTTTAGTAAAGTACAGGTTGACCTTCTACCTCTTTGGGAAACTACGTCCCATCTAAGCAACACTGAGAATGTTTTCAGGCAAAAAGCGATTCCTAGCCTTATCTCCCTTGTAGCACTTCGAGACGTGCACAGTCTCAGTTTCTTCTAGAACATGCTCTGAAGAAGGAGGTTTCCAAAATTTCTTTCTGATACCCCAGATGATATCCAGCAGAATTTTGTAAGCTGCCATCTTGACATATGTTGAAAGTGTCGGGTTTCGTAGTCCTAGTATTCCACTGCTAGTGGGCCAGATAGTTACTCTTTATGATATACAACGATTGGACTCGACTATTGTAAGGGTAACCTCTGAAAACTCAGGGGAATATATCTATCACTCCCTGGAATCCCCGAAATCTTTTAAGGAACGTTTATGTGTGGTTTTCTGCCGACTATTCTGTAGAACTACGGAGATAAATCTATCTTTCCCGCATCCGCAATATGGTGTGACGAGAAAGGGCTTTTATTAGAGTAGAGAATCTTTATTTATCTCTCAAATTTATCTCTCTGAGTGACAGTGAGTAAAGAAGGTGGTATAAATTCCTTTGCCCCAGTACATTACTGTGCCACAGCCTACCGAAACCTCGTTCGAAAAGGACCGAATATGAGTCATATATTTTCTGTAGAACAATGATGATGATGTATCATCTAGTATGATCACATCATGGGCAAATGAAATCATTTGATTATCGCCAAGTATAAATGCTGCTAAAAGTGACGATTACTTATAATTCTTGAAAGATCAACGCCCTAACAATCGCTGGCGTTTTCGACCACCCCCATCATCACCATTATCACCGTATCGTACCACGATAGAGAACATTGGTGTTTAGGATGCCATGAGAGCATGAACTGTCACCTCAAGGCTAACCAACAATTGGAAATTGCATGGTACGTCTGATTTCCGATGATTTTCTCATTGCGAATCTGTCTGCTTTAGGAACGTAGGTGTAATGGAATCAATTTAATACTTTCAGCCTGTTTCTAATGGTAATATTCAATGTGAATTGCATAACAATTAATGGTGGTGAAACTCGTTGGCAATTATTCAATCAGTGCAGTAAAGCAATGCTACAAACTTTCCTAGGCCGTGTTAATACTAGAGGAAACTCATCACATCTTTGTCTCAGTAAGTTACCTATTCATCCGATCGATTACTCGCTACTCAATAGTAGTACGATATCCTTATTTTCCCAGTCTACTCGAGGCTTTCTGAGTTTATTTGGAGCCTAAAATCAGTCTGTAACCCATTTGCCTGTGACAATCTAGCTGTGTTCGGGAAGTGAAGTGTCTTATAGGGAAGGGAGCAGCGGGGATGGGAACAACTGCGAAAGTTTACGGGTGTTTTGTACGCATTTTTCTGTTTCCTGTCATAAATCGTTAACGTCATTGAGGTTGGGGGAATATCGCAGTCGATATTTCTTCAATGATCTTCTTTTTCATTGGCGGGTGGTCGAACACTATAGACGTTTGGCTGATCTCGATAATGCAAACTTAGTAATTACCAAACTTGACTCCTCTCAGACACAATTCGTAAGGATAGACTGTAACTTGTTCTTCAATAAGTCAATCATCCGAATTAATTAAACAAAGCCTGAAACAGTAAAAGTAACAGCATTAAAAGCAGAGTAGTGTTGTAACTCAATATATCGAACCAATTCGATACAAAGTCTATGGTAACTGGAACGGTGCCCAAAATTCATGACCGTTGAAACGCTTAAAGCAAGGGTTTATAGTCGGTGAAACGCCTAGAACAAGAATTCAATTATCTCCAACACTTGAACGTTGGAAAACTGCCTGCTGAGTGGCTCTTGTCGAGCATGATTCCAATCTTTAGCATATTATAATTTGTTTTTCGAAATTCATTGGTAAGAAGGTGTGGTTCTACCCGGGATCTATATCGGTGAATGAAGAGGAACAGAGCTCATTGGGGTAGAATACTACAGGAAGTCCTCCTAATTTGAGATAATTGTAAAGAGTATAGCTGGCTCATATTTCAAATGCTTTAGGCCCGTTAGGCTCGACTACTTNAGGCCCTTCAGGTCACTCGAGGCAGCACTGAAATTACCTTCGAATAAGAAGTTTTATCGCTCATAACGTTCGATAATAAAGCAAACCAAACGAGTGGATTCACATTCATTCTGAGAAAAAGAAACTTCACGGCCCTAAAGAAGCTCTAGAACATGTCTTCTCTGAAGAGCATAAGCGAACAAAAATGTTTATTGATATCAATAAATCAGACAATTACGACGAATAACGGGCTCTACTACTGAATGATATTTTTGACCTTCACCCACATAAAGCCGTTTCTGTTGAAATGGAGGTCATCTAAGCCACACCATGGTTGAAGTGTGTTTGAGATAGGAAGTTGTATTGGGCAAGAAGAAATATTTCGAGCTAGTTCTCTGAAGTCCTTCTATATCCGCTCAATTTCCCTATGACGCTATGGTCTGGCACCGGAAACCAAGCCTTATCACCATGTCCTGATCAAGATTACTCGAAGCCTGAAACAGATTGAAGTCGAACGAATGCATGTATGCACATATGTGTGTATATATTTATGTATTTGTGCATGTGTGTATACATATGTGTATACATATGTATGTTTATATGTGTTTGCAGAAATTTTTAGTGTAAATTTCTGGTGCGGTTCGTAGAAAAAGATGTAAGTTCGTTCTTTACAGCCGATTTCAACGTGAAGGTTAACCGGTGGGGTCAATTTCAATTGCAACACGCCCAATCCAGAAAATACATATGCTTTAGTCGACGGAAACGAGTAACTGTACGGGTGAGTGAACTCGCCACTTAATTAATTTCTTTGACTCTTCACATCGTTATCATCCGATTTATCATTACCGTATCCTCCACGGCATCGCCGCATAATCCCAAAGACGATCCCAAAGACGATCTCGGCACATAGTGTGAGCCGGTTGGGATATTCTGTCAACGCGAATATATACAAACCGTTGATTATACGTAATGGCCCGAAAATAATAGTGTAGATTTGCTTGTTATAGACAAGAAAAACATCTCATTGAGGTGGTAGAAGTAGCACTGTCGAAGACAACAAAGAAAGTCATCTGGAAGGTCGGTGGTGACGACGACGATTCATCAACACGTCGCGAGTGCAGGCCGGGGTTTTTTCCAACCAACAATTTGACAATGTCACCCATGAGCGCAGCGCAATTTACGCAAAGCATTCACGCACACTGTAAGATGCCTCGGTTTCTGTGTAAGCAGTATAGAAATTCAAATGCACCGAAATCTGCCCAAACAAGCCGACCCAAACAGGAACTCTTGCGACGTGACTAACACTTCGAATCAAATCTTGTTTAGCGGGTCAACAAGCGTGAGCGTATTTGAATAAAGCTGAATTGAATCAAGTGCCGCTAAAGTTGGAGGGCTTGGCCTCAACCTGCCGGCTCCTAGTCTTAACTCTGTACAGGGAACTCTCAAACCAGTTAACAATGATTTTACCTAAATATGGAAGAGGCTAGGTCATGAACTGAGGCGAGGGTTACCTGCGAAAGAGNTTCCATCAATAAATCCTAGATAACATTGAACGGAGAGGATGTGTAGAGCGTGGTGCCGGAGTTATGTTCGAAAACAAGAGGAACCTCGATCAAACACTACCAGAGATGATTGTCGTCCAGTGTGATATGGGAAAGCGAAGAAAATGTTTGTAGTGTATTTGACAGAGTGGAGGTGGTGTAGTGGCGAGAGGCCCACTATCATACACGCATGGTGGCGAGTTCGAATCCTAAATCGACATCCGCTAGGCTAACCGAGTCTACCATTCCTTCGGGGCCGGTAAATTAAACTAGTTTCGTCTGAAAGGATAAAATCACTGGCTTGTATATCGCCATTCATTGTATAAGGTGCATACGCAATCAATTCGCTACTACAATCTCGAATGGGAGTTGAATGCGCGTTTCTTGAAGGATTGATCAACGCACAAAGACTTCACTCTTCATACTTTTAATTTTCATCTGCTCTGGGAACTTGTCGAAGTACTCTTTGATCAACGTTATGCCGCGATCACTTACCTATACCCAACAATCAGAGAGGAGAACATGCAGGAACAGCCGAGCAGTCTCGAATACATTAATGCAACTTCGATTTTTCTTAGGTTTCATTTTTCTTTTCTCATGAATCAATTCGTTACTCACTGCTACTACTGGCAACATTTCATTTTGAGACCAGTTCGAGATCGCCGTCTTCGACTCTTCGCCCATGGACTTTTTTCTCGTGTTCAAATGCTTTGAATGGACAGGGTATTCGACCAGCGCAGTACTTTGGGTGACAGGAAGGGGAATGAATTCACACCAGTCATGTAAGACGAGTTAGTTACAACTTACTAACCTCCTTGATCTATACAAGCTGGAGGCAATATAGGGTTGGTACGTGCATAAGGTACATAATATTAGGTGTGTGCATTAATTTCCGCCGCCGAATTTCAAGGGCCTTTGCGCAAACCATATTAGAGGTTTACCGGTGAAACCTGTCATATTCTGTAAAATAGGGATACTGGCTACTTATCTAAGGGCAGACAGATCAGTTTCGCCCCAAAATCCTGTTGCTCTCAGACTGATTGGTCATGGAACGTGATAAACCGTTTTCCCAGGGGCCCTTCTCCTGCTGTTCGGTTTCAAGAAAACTGGCATTGGAGCCCACCGGATGCTTCCATGGAGGACAAGCTTCATCTGAACGAACCTGCTGAGATAGTTTCTCTTCACTCGAGAGCTTGCAACGAAAGCGAAATAACCATTACCAAAAAATAATGCTGTGTGCGCATTTGATGGTGAGATCAAAAGGTTGTTGTGTACTATGAGCTGCTGAGCCCGAACGAGACTGTTACTGCTGATCGCTACGAACACAAACTTGACAGTTTGTAGGATGCTTTCACCTAAAAGCTCACCTTAATCGCAAGAAAATATCATGAGGTGCCGTTCCACCACGTACATGCCAGCCCCCATCTTGCGAAGAATGTCTTTTAAAGCAATTGTAGTTGTTGGCCGGGATCAGCTTGTTCAGCCCGCATACTCTCCGAGTCTTTCTCCTTCTGTTTACCACCTATTCCGGTCCATGCACGTCAGTTTGGCAGATATACGCTTCTGGAATGGCGAAGAAGTGCGGAAATGGGTGGGTAACAAGATTGCTTCAAAAGATGAAGATTTTGTTAGTCCTGGAGTCAACAAGATACTAGAAAGATGGCAAGAAGTTGTAGCTAACGATGGGCAATACATTGGTTAATGTACATTTGGTTTTAATTTTGTAATAAATATGTTTTGCCCGCAAAAAACGGCGGAAATTAATGCACACACCTAATACATCCCCTTGGTTGCCTCTCGTCTGAACCCGGTCGTGGACACCACAGTCCTCTAGTAAGGACCATTTGCTCTAGCATTAGATCAGGCATTTTATCAAACAGTCGCCTCCATTTGCCATCGATTGGACAGCAACTTTTCGACCTGTTCTCTTTTCTTTTCCTCTATTGTTTTTAGTACTGAAATTTTACTACTGCTTCTACAATAGTTCTTAATACTTTTCTCAAGTTTCTATATTTCTGAAATGCTGGCAAAATGCCACATGTACCATATCAAGGTGCAGAAACAGTGCTTCGGGAAGAAACGGTCCTGAAACGATTGCTTGTTCAGCTGCCACTAGCGTGAGGACCAACTTCCCATTAGGGATCAGTTTGGTGTGAACAGCAGCTCAGGTTACGGATTTGCATTATGCTCAAAAATGTTATTGTAAAATGATTCTATCCAATTCTGATCATTACTCAGAGCTGTATTTAATGAGAGCTTCTCGAAATCTTGATAGAAAANAAAACTTCGTAGGACAGTTCCTGGTCTTTGAGATCCTCTCCAGACGATTAAAAACCTACTGATACGTAGTGAATATGAAAAGTAGCGTGTCATTTGACATATAGGTTGGGGCTAGAAATACCAGGAAAAGGTATGAGTGAGATTTTGCAAGAATCATTAGATGGTTGAATAGGTTTCTTTTGGTTGTCACTGTGAAAAAACAAAATGTTAATCGTCCAGACGATGTATGAGATGTCCGCACATAACATTCATATCAATGGAGTGGCATTCTCGCTATCATGTGTGGGTATATACGTAGTTACGCAAGTGTGAGTTAACAACGAAATTGTCTTGCTCTCTTCCACGTTTCTTCCAAACTCATCTCAATCATCGTTGTAGTAGGTTCGGCTCTGAACCATGAGTCAGGATGGTATGACGGCAGACTCGATTTCGCCATTGTGGTCGGGCGTCTATACAATAGTATTGTTGCGTTTGCCCATCATAATACCGTTCGTTAACAATGAAAAGGCAAGTGGTGTCAATCATGCTGTGAATAACTAAAGATTCCCATTCGAAACCCTTTACCTCTTCTGTGTTCTAATAAGTGGCATCTTCCCTTTCAAACAGCCGATATCCAGATTTTTTGAAGGCATTGCCGCAAGAAGCCTTTTAGCAGTTTATCTGTGAAAAATGGCAATGTCTTTCAGAAATGTTGTGAACTGAGAAAGGAGGAACTGGAAAGGCCGTTGTACCTCTCAGGATTAGAATAGTAAAAGCAGAAAAGCAATGATCATTCACGCTGCTAACCCACTATACGATAGTTTCAAGCAATTTGCCTCCGAGCAAAAAAAAAAAAGGAAAGCTCTTCCTACCAATGAGAGTGTTTTGGNTCATAATACCGTTCGTTAACAATGAAAAGGCAAGTGGTGTCAATCATGCTGTGAATAACTAAAGGTTCCCATTCGAAACCCTTTACCTCTTCTGTGTTCTAATAAATGGCATCTTCCCTTTCAAACAGCCGATATCCAGATTTTTCGAAGGCATTGCCGCAAGAAGCCTTTTAGCAGTTTATCTGTGAGAAAATGGCAATGTCTTTCAGGAATGTTGTGAACTGAGAAAGGAGGAACTGGAAAGGCCGTTGTACCTCTCAGGATTAGGATAGTAAAAGCAGAAAAGCAGTGATCATTCACGCTGCTAACCCACTATACGATAGTTTCAAGCAATTTGCCTCCGAGCAAAAAAAAAAGGAAAGCTCTTCCTACCAATGAGAGTGTTTTGGACAATCTTCTTGGTGGAAAAGTGAAATAAGCAATGAAAATGCAGAGTTTTCACTGTTTCACGAATGGGGATCATTGCAAGAGGGCTGCCTTCCCATCCAACTTTAATGTAACAACCTGTTTTGAACTTATGTTTTGCTGATTTGGTATTTCGCCGCACTATGCGGTTCGAAACTCTCACAATGTTGGCGAGCTATGAACAAAGCTTAAACCTTGGACGGGACTGGAACCCGTGCCGATACGAACTGGACTTTCATTCATTCCACGGGCATAATTTGGGAACCAGTTTTTTTCGTCAACTGTGCCTTAAATAGAAATGTTTGATGAAAAACTTTAATGATGTAGGAGATCTATTGCACCGCAATTAGTTTCAGACTGCCCATAGTTGCTCCTCCTTGATTCAAGTTGCTAGCTGCACTGTGTGTGGTTTCAAGGGTAATTTTGCTCTCAGCGTACTTCAACAACCATGTTCAACTTATAGAAAGTGAACAAATGGAAGAGTCAGCAAAATTGGAAAACAAGAAGTTCTCAAAATGTTGTTGGTGATTGTTGAAAATGATTGTTCTCAAGAGGTAAAACTGTGACAGCCTGCAATAAATACACAATAGAAAACCTCAAAAGCTCGCACATTGGGCTAAGCGGTCTGGTCTTGCCGGTATTGCAACCGATGAGAGGCGAAGAATTCTCGGGTTACGCAAGACTGGATTTTGGACAACGACAGCAATCCCTTTACACGCCACGGAGACTCTTTCCTACTTTGATCGACCTACAACGCGAAAACAGTTTCTTTCAATGCCGCTTCTCCAACTTCGATCGCGAAACGTCAGCGGCGTTGGTTTTATCGTGCACCCCTCTGTCGTTTCATCTCGTCGATTCTCACAAAGTGATGTCTCCTCTCCCGTCCTGGCTCCAACGGCTACGACATGTGCACCCGAATACCATCTCTATCGTCAACTGCTCATCACACTCTAGAGGCGCGATGCGATTTACGACTTGCTAGAGGAGATCATCTACAACGAAATGCCCTTACACAAGTTTGTTGCTGGAAATTTCAAGGCTAGTCTTGGCTTAAACATCAGAAAAGGAGTACAGCATTGGAAAGTTTGTAATGGAGGAGGGGAATGAGAACGGAAACCGTTTTTAAAGACTCTTGTCCGCGGCTCGACTCTTTCATGGCAACTTCTTTTTCCAGAAGAAGGAACCTCGTTGACGTTGGAGTCTGCAAATGGTAAAACTCAAGCTCGATTGGACTACGTATTAACAAGCAGAAAGGAATGCTCACTGGTTCTTGATGTGGCACCATCCTTCTGCAGTGGCTCTGACCATCGGCTCGTTTCGCGCTGAGATCAGATTCACTCACAAACTGAGGGAGATCTCTCAGTTTCGCGCAAAGGGCTTGAAGCAAGTTGTATACTACGAAGACTTTCTGAACAAGGCTTATCTCAAAATGACTGGCAGGTCATGGGAAACTTGAACGAGGAAAACCTAGCTCGTTTGGGGTCTCCCTAACTAAGGTGAACAGGCCAAGCTGCCTCGATTGGATGCTTTTACTCGCATTTCAGATGCGGCGAAGAATCTACCCAAGGCAAGAACTAGCTTTGGGCATGATCAGAACGCCATACATCTT